CCCCAAAACCCCAAAACCCCAAAACCCCAAAACCCCTACCTTATCGAACAGAATTGAAGTCCTTCAGCTAAATTCTGATATTACAAAGAGGACATTTGTAGACTTTATCTTTTTGTGATGATACCAGAACTAGCTCCAGACACCCAGAATGAAACATGTGGTCACACTTGGAGACTACTCTGACGAGAGCTCCATCTTCAAAGTCTTTGAGACATACAATGCAATTTCCGATGCTTAATACATCACCTTTGCATGAATATTGTTGTTCTCTACATTTATCCAATTTTTGTCCGATTTCTGGTTGAAGTACTTCAATAGACATCCCCTTGACTTCGACATGGTCCGCTCCTTTAAGAGCAACTTTGTTGTCTTTTCTTCTGTTGCGGATTCTTATGAAACAGATTAAGCTAGTTGCCAAGACTATTGAAAGCAAGAGTACCGAGAGACAGATAACTATGATAGCTTCAATATTGTCCTTCTGATTAGTAGGCTGATCATTTATTTTCCCGATGACAGATGGATCATTGTCGACTATAGGAGTGGGGGTGCTTACTTCGCTATCAAGATAGTTTTTATCAGATAATATCAACAGAGAAGGAGAGGCCAAGTCACTGTTAGTCATAAACAAGATATTAACTGATTCAGCTTCGCTTACTGTAAAAATGCTAGTCGTTGTTGGTAAATTTCTTCTATCTTGGTCAAGGTTTCTCCTCGAAATTGGATTAACATCAGAAGATATTCCGTTCTTAACTTGTTGTAAGGCAATTGATATAGAGGAATCAGTTTCAATAGTGAAAGAGTCACTAATGGGTTCATTAAGCATTAGTTTGTATCTACATAGGATGCCTCTAGGCATCTTAGCATTAGTTGGCATCACATTATAAGAAGAGTTAAATTTTCTCATATCAATGACAGATTGACCACAGAACCTGATCGGATGTTCTTTTGTTCCTTCAGAATATCATTGATCATAGATACTCCCAGGACTCGTGTTCAGACTCTGAGTCGTCGACTTGCATTGATAGTTTGAGTACTCACACTGTCCTGATGAGATGCACTCAGAACACCTCGTGAACTCTGTACAATATGCCAATCCAGTCGTGCTACTTTTGAGTTTGCATTGGTCCGCTGCTGTATCGTCCCAGCTGTATCCTGATGGAGCTGCCTGTCCGACTCTTGCCATGTAAGCTGAGCAGCTCTGACAGTTCTTACCGAACTGGCCAGATGAACACCCGAAATCGCAGATGGACTCTCCAATAAATCTGTTGTAATCAACTGAGTCGTCGATGGATGCACAGGTGGTAGGAGAGGAAGTCTGAAGACCTAGCGCCACAGATCCAGAGCTGACGGCAAGGCAGAGTTTGGTTGAGCTGGCGTAGACTTGTTGGTAACTGCAGATGCTGGCAACTTCAAACTCATGGGCAACGCTGTTACTAGAGCTGCTGAGAGAACTTGAGATATACAACTTTGCAGTATTCTGAGAAGCATCTAAACTGAAATATTTTCCAAATGAATTGTAAGTATCATCAACAAAAGCTTGCTCTGTCAAGTAAGTCTTGGAGTTAGAAGAGTTGTTCTTGTCCTGAAAAATCTCGACCATACTGATCTGACCCAGAGTTCCTGTCGTGGCCTTCATTGAGTTATAAAAAACTTGATGCTAAAGATGAGTGAGGGAACCTTACATAATTCTCAAAGCTTGCAATTTGGATACTAGCTCCGATAAAGAAGCTGCTAGAAGTTGATGTCTGAGTGTGAATGACTAAGAGGTCGCTTGCTCTGAGTATTGTGATGAAAGAGGAAGTAGGGTCTGAGGAGCTTGGACAAGATACAGCAACAATATCAGAGGATGATTCTACAACAGTTCCTCAGTTCTCACCAATTGATGTGGATGTTACATTATTGTAAATATAAAAATCAGTATTCGTATCCCTTCTATGAAGCTGATAAGATCCTGTGCTTTCAACATAATGGGTACTCCAGAGAATGCAACTATACTCATCTTCTTTCAAGTAAAGATCAAGTCCGCTAGGTTCTTCTATCTCTTTAAAATAGGGACTAGTGTTTGTTATATTAAGTCTCCCTACTCCCCAGAGTACCTTGCCACTGATAAACTTTATCCCAACATGAACCATAGCAACTCCGTCAAAAGCAAAGTTTAGAGGCTCCATATCGAAAACAAACCAATGCTCGGTTTTTATTTCGCCGTTGATTACTTGGGTTATAGCCCAGTTAGACCACTGACCCATAGTTGAGGTTATGAAGTAGTCTCCGCTTCCTTTGTGAACTTTAGCGTTTTTATAATCTTCCTCTAGATTTTCGACTTCTATATAAAGCTATAGCGCTTTGATGAATCTTCTAACGATTCAAATATAACTTAGAAAGAAAAGTTTGGAATGACTAAGAGCTAGGATAATTACTTTGAGTGGATAAATCTCCATTGAAGAATTCATCCTTTTTATGAAAGAACAAATACTTTTGCTCCGCACAGTAAACTCCAACAACTTGGTTGCTTGCAGAAATCTGACAATCCTTTGGTGCTCCATTGATAAAATAGGAAGAATCCGCCTGATTCGTGACCATAGTATCCATATAAACAGCGTTACCACTACTTATACTTGCTCCAATAGCTAAAAACAGTAACAAATACATTATAATTTTATAACCTACCCTTCACTTAAATTCTGTCCTCTCTCCTATAACTCCTCTAGCCCAAATACCCCTCAGTTTTCTTCATCTTCTATCTCACTAGAGTTTAAGGACTAATCCAGAATCTTTCAGCTTGGGGTTCTTCAGGATTTAGCCGATTATAGTGCACAAGTGGGATTTTGAGGAATAGAGTCGAATGAGGTTAAGGGGTGGCTGGAGGGATTTGGGAGAGAAGAGGGAATTTGGGGATGTTGACTGGGGAGGGAGTAGAATGGAGATTTTGGGGCTTTGAGAGAAGGATTGGGGTATTTTGGTGTGGTTAGGGGGCTGGTGGGTGATTTAGGGGTTTAATGTTATGTGGGTTGATTCTGATTTGGCTAATGAGGAGTATATACATTTATCATGGTTTTATTCAGATACTTAAATGAAATAGGTCTTTGCCTTTTATTTTGTGTAGTTAAAATAAAACAGAAATTTTAAATATATAAACAAAACATCTAAATCTAACACCATAAAAATGATCCTTTCAATCTTCTACACACAATAAGGGGTTTTGGGGTTTTGGGGTTTTGGGGTTTTGGGGTTTTGGGG